GCTTCGCAGACAACGATGATCGAAGACTTGAAGGCGCCTCAGATCTTCAGACCGAAGGGGCCAAGGCTCACTACCATAGAGCAGAACGGCCCTCACTGTGGCCTTGTATATACGGCCTTGTATACACGGCCTTGACGTTCAGTCTAGCCCTCTGCTGTTTGAGCTTCAAGCGATGTCCACGCAAGTGTTCAGAATCAGCCAGCTCAAATAAATCAGAGGGCACGATGGCACTGATGCCCTTCATGATCTTAAATGTTTTTATCAGATCCCCTCTCAGTCTACGCCGTTCAAGGGAAAACAATCCCAGGCTCTTTAGGCGATCTTCATACGCCTTCCCCCGTTGACCTTCAACCATCCTGGTTGCTAGTCTTTGAATCTTCTCCAGGCAAAGAACATCACCACGGAGATAGGGCGACCAAGCTTGAACACAATACTCTAAGTGTGGCCTAACCACTGATTTGTATAGTGGCAGGAACACTTCTGGCATGGTATTACACAGAGCCCTCCTGAGGCGAAACAATTCTCGTCGCGCTTTGTTGGCGGCGTATCGACATTGCATCGAAGGCTTGAAGCTGCTCGTCATGATGACTCCTAAATCGTGTGCCTGGGTAGTGCATTGTAAGGGGAAGGGCCCAAAGGAAGTCTGAACTGCAAGTACGTCTCTACTAGTGGTCAGAATTTGGCACTTGCTTGCATTCAAGGGCAAGTCCCATTGCTTCGACCAGTTTACCACACTGATGATATCCTTGGCCAGTGTTGCACGGTTGCCCCTGCTGACTAGCTTCAAGTCATCCGCAAAGATACAACAGGGGTCTTCAATAAGAGGAGCCAAGTCGTTTATAAACATCAGAAACAAAAGTGGACCTAGCACCGATCCTTGGGGTACTCCACTGTAGGCCACGCCCACACTAGAACTCACATCACCGATTCTAACTCGAAACGTTCTCCCACATAAGAATTCTGATACCCAAGACAAAAGTCTAGGATGTACTCCGAACCATGCTAATTTTTCAAGTAGGAAACGGTGATTTACTGAGTCGAAAGCCTTGCTAAAGTCAAGATAGCAGACCTCTACCGGAATCCCGTCGTCAAGACATCGAGTAATCTCATCGAGGAAGCACAGTAGACTAGTGAGGCACGACTTCTTTTTAATGAAACCATGCTGCTCTGCTCTAAGTAGACTGTGTTCCGCCAAATGCTCACAAATCCGGTTTCTTATAAGCTTCTCTAAACACCTGAGCAGAACAAAGGTTAGACTGATGGGTCTGTAGTTAAGGGGCTCCGATTTGGAGCCACCCTTGTGAATCGCAACTATGGCTGCTTCCTTCCAGTCTCGTGGCAACTTGCATTCCTGGAGCGACAAGTTGAACAGCTCCAGAACAGGATGTTGAAGGATGTCAGCTAGTGGCTTGACTATTGCCGGATGTACATCGTCAGGACCGGCTGATTTGAAGGGATTCAAGTTAGTCATCACAGTAAAGACCTCTTGCGCAGTCAGCACGATGTCCTGCATTATATAACTGCTGACACAGTGTGGCTGCGATGGTGCAGCACATCCATTGTCGCTCCTATGCAGATTCTGAAAGACTCTTAGCAGCATTTCAGCTTTATCTCTGGCTTCCACAGCCTGGCTGCCATCTTCCATAATTAGACACCCAACGTCCTCTCGTAGGGAGGCTTAAGACTGGACATAGCCGTAGTAACACTTTGGATTTGTTTTCGCATACCGGGCCAGCCGAAGCTCATAACAGTATTTAGCCTGCCGTTGCATCTTGATAGCCGTATTCCGGCTTTTTGTGTACTGTAGCCATCGTCGAAAGCCCCTGGCCTCATTGAATTTTTTCCACTTCTCATTTCGTCTCTTTAGAGCTCTATCAATTCTCCTCCTCCACCACCGAGGCTTGCTAAAGTGTCTCGCAGGACGAAGAGGAGCAAACTCATTCAATAGTTGTACTAAACCAGTTTTAAGCACAGACCACCTTTGTTCCAAAGATGCCTGTTCCTGGTCAGGGATCCGATTGACCTGGAGGGTTCTAGCACTCAATTTCATGTGGTCAATGCGGCTGAAATTTCTCACGAGGCGAGGATTTCGTGCAGGCTTTGATGTATTTAGGCAGAAAGTGAGGACGCAGTGATCACTCCTACCTAAAGGTGCTTCAACTTGTAGCTCTGCGAAACGACCGTGTTTGGTGATGGCAACATCCAACGTGGAGGGGGCACTCCCGATTCGGCTCCTGGTCGGTATATTGATGCATTGTTCAAGTGCATTCTCATGCATCCAGTCAACCAGTTCCTGTTCTAAGGTATCCGCTCTGTTTGCGGTGCCTTGCCAATCCGTATGAGGAAGGTTTAGAACACCAACTATTAGGAAATTAGGCGCAGCAACCACTGCGCGCCTCAATAGTGCACCGAGCTCTTTGTCCTCCTCTCGTGTGGACGATGGACTGCGGTAGACACATATAAAGATCTCCAACTTGCCCATCATCCTTAAGTAACAAGACACCACCTGAACGTTCGTATTACTCATCATAAACGGAGCCTCCCAATGACTATACTGGCGCTTTATAAGCAATAGTGCTCCCCCGCCAGTGTGGTGATCAGGCCTATTTACTCGGTAACTCACGAAACCTACCAGCAGGTCGCTAACCATGTCGCTCGGAGAAAGCCGTTTCTGTCAAGGCAACAACATCAGCACATCCGCAGCGCCTCACCATCTCTTCCCATTTGTTCCTCACACTGCAGCAATTGGTATACCATACAATTAGTCCTGCTTGACGCGGTTGTTTCCCCTCGGGCGCAGCACCCGAGGGGACAATCCTTTTTTTGACGCCGCGTCATTATCGTTCGCCGCCTGCAATTCTGGTTCAGGATTAGACGCTTGTATGTCAACACGAGCAGAAACCTTGTCAGGTTCCGTCCGACTTGAGTTGTTTCGTAAACGACCAACTTGCTTCTTTCTCTTTAACTTAGAATGTCTAGCAACGCTACCTTCCGAATTTCCTGCAAGGTCAGCCTTGGGAGATTCACAGCGCTGGTTTCCCAAACCGTTCAGCGACATCCACGTAGTGACCTTGAGTTCCGGAGCAGCTGACATAATGCGAGTGGCATCAAATAATCCTGGATGCGCCACCTGTAAGCTCATGTCCGCAACCCCGCAACTTTACCCGGGTAACAAGCTGGAAGTCGTACTTCCGTTCAGTGAAACTTTGGTCGTTGTCACATGTAACTCGCGACTTATTCCCCTTGCAACCTGCATCGTTTGAGGACTCGAGCAGACAACTGCCGCTGTGGTAGGAGTGCAGTCCCACCCAGTTCCTTTTGGTGTAATCGTGGCATGTTGCTGACTGACTCTGACCCCAGCGGCCGGAGATGCAGGGTATACAACCACTCGGCTGTAAGCACCTCTGGGTGAACTAACTTGTGAGGAAGCACCTTTCGCGGTACCTGCATCTGATACTGAATTTGTGGTGTGGTAGTTCGAAGGAACGACCTCCGCTGCAGTGGGATAATCATCTCTGGTAGGCACTGATGCAATGCGGCGATCACGTAAAGGAGCACCCTTAACCAAGGTCGCAGACACGCCAACCAAGCGGTTATTAGTATCTTCCGACTGACATACCCCCGGGACCTTGGCCTGTGAGCTAAGTGTGTCCGGGGCCACCTGATACCGGCCATTAGTCTGACTCTCGATTAAGCCGGCTCGGTTAAGCATTTGATCACGATAAACAGGGTTCCTAAATTCAACCAGAATCGGCCTAGCAAATCCTTGCTGACGCAGTGGACCAGTCTCTCTTCAGCTACCTACACGATGCACCCTTTTGATACTGACGTTTAAAGGTATCCCGGCTATGCGGAGGATGTCGTGTATTCGTCGCCTGTCCAGGTCTCGTCGAGTCTTTGCCTCGTGTATCACCGGCTTCTCCCGATTGTAGATAAGAACATTTCTTTGCCTGCCCATGGCAATCTCCGCACTCCGAGCGTAGCTATTTAAAGAATCGCGCAATTCGTCAATCTTCACTCGCAATGCATCTATGAGCAAAGCCTGGTCGCTGATCACTTTTTCTGCGGTGGAGAGCCGCTGCAGATACTTTGCGTCAGCTACCCTCTGAACATCAGGCAACTGTGGAGGAGCAGCAAGCCGCTCGCGTAATAAGCGAGCACAAGTATCAGCTAGGCACACACAGTGAAAACAGATCCACTTCAGTTGGGGATGCTGGGTGTACAGATCAATGGACGAATGGTCTAACCTAGAGCAGGTGCTATGACCATAATAAACATCGGTCACACTGTATGCCTTCCGTGACTGCAGTGCCACAACTGTGCTCGCCACATTTATCGTTAGTATCAAGAGCCATAGTTATTTGGAAGGTGGAACCAAGAATAAGCAAAAAGCGAAACGAGTAAGCAGATGCAGGAGAAAACAGCAAAGAACAAACTCACGGAAGACAAGAAGCCTTTGGGACGAGTAGGTTCAAGTATGCAGCAGCAAAGATAGCAGCCCAAAAGTCGAAGAGTCGAAAGCCCTGGTTCACTTGCTGGTAGAAGGGCTAGATGTGGAAAGGCGGACCGTAGCGACGTCAGGAAGGATTTAGTTGTGACTGGAATACGAGCCAGGCGATTCAAAGTCGAGTCAGTCAGGAAAAGTGCTACAGCAGACTGCAGTATCTTGATGCCACAAAGCAAAAACGCCAGATCCAATGTAACAGTCAGTCTTTAGCAGCAGTAGAAAATATTTGAGCGAAAGTATTTGGGTAGGATGGGTAGGATGAACGTGGTTTGCATGCACTACAATACACGGCAGAGAACCGTATAGGTAATTTAGCACTTCCAAGTCCTTTTGGATCACAAGAAAAGTGACAAAAGCCAAATTTTCAGGATTTCAGTGAAAAGAACAAATATCCCATCAAGGTAGGCTTTTATAACTGGATTTGAAGATGTATTTAGGTCGCTTTGTGCTAAATCATGCACTACTATACACGGCAGAGAACCGTAGTACTCACAGGGCACAGTGCCATCATTACGCTGGCTCGAGCCAGGGCGAAAGGCGGGTAGGAACTGCACTTACGAATAGGGTTATGCACCATTTGTCCTACATTAAAAATGGACAAAGTGTTTTGTGCATGTCGATATGATTATGCGTAAAGAGCCAAGGGCCGTGTTAGGGCTATACTTTTCATGCACACTACTTGTTCCTCACATATGTCGGTCATGATATACAACGCCAAAAGAGCTTAAAACACGTGATAGGTTACTTTTACTACCAAGTGTCACAACATACTGCGTCCGCATATAGCAGGAGTAATAACAAAAGTAAAACATCCGTTAGACTTTCACTTGTAGACTAAAGACAGCATCCAGCTTGCGGATTCCCTCCACCCGCGAACTCACTGACGCTAAGACGGTGGTGTCCCATCAGTCCGTAATGCGTGTTCTTAAAAAGCTTTGTTCTTCTTAACTATTTATATTATCATAGACATTGTGGCAATATCCGTCCTCTGGAATGCAGCTTTTTGTTATAATACCGTAGGTCATGAAGAAGTGCGCTGCCTTCTCTTCTATTACTTCTCTCGCGAATATTTATCAACGGAATCATATAGCACTTGGGTTGCTGACCTGACTCAACCATAGCGCCGGAGTGCTTGGATTGCGGTTCGTGTGTTACTTCCAAAGCAAGACCGTACACTGCGATATCGCTTTAGGTCCTTAGGAATGCCTCCAGCGGTGCACCTGCTCGAATAGCACATTACATTGCGACTGGTGTCTAAGTGGGCTGAATGCTAGGCATGTTTCGAAAGACTTGTCTGTGCGTAGCCGGCGACCCTCACCAAGTCATAACGATGAACGCGCCGCGGTCAAGTCTCTGAGGTCTAATATGCTAATAAACGCCGCTGACTCTGGAACTCCCTCTATTAATGGAAGGCATGATTCCCCGTCGTCTTGGTCGGAGCCACTGACTCCTGCGGACAGCAGCAATGTGCGTAAGACTGAGAAGTATGCGGCGGTGGTGGGTGAAGGCCTAGCGCCAACACCAGTTGTCAGGATTGCGCCTGCGCGAATGGGAAGTGCTAAGAGCAGTCCTAAAATGAAAACTAAGTCTCTTCTGATCTAAATTTGGTTGTTGACAAACTAAGGCAGCTGAAAAAAGCACTCAAGGACTGTTTGCTTTACGGGAATCTCCAGCCTTCTGTTGGCGTCAAACCTCATCCCGGTGATCGTTGCTTGCTTATTATGCATGCCACGGAGTCCCACAAAAATTCTATGACTGAAAGGATGCAAGAGGACCAGGATTTCCTAAAGCGTATGGACACTCCTTTTTGATGAAAACGACCAGTTAATGTCGCCGCTTTCTGGGACGAACCTCACGTCTAAAGAGTGAAATGTCCTGCGTACCACGAGACCTCTCCCCTGAGGACGAGATCCAAAAGAAAGCAACAGACCGAGCACAATAGTGAAAATATCCTTTAAATTGTAGCTTTGCTGGTAGTTCCAAAGTCTCCGACAGTTCGCCGGAGGCCAGACTTTGTCGTCCCTGGGCGACTAGAATGTTGTATTGCTTGCGCGATAGCTGCTGATGTTCGTAGCTTGCGAAACAAGCTGGAGGAATTAAAGCTCCTTGCTTCCGACATTCGCACAGACCTAATGGGTTTCACAGATACTTGCTTGCCTTCTGAGGTACTTGCTTCTGAGGCGTATATTCTTAGGTATCAGCTAGCGCAAGTCCATCGTTCCTGAGCGAGGTCTGGCGGTGTTGTGATCCTCTCCCGGCAAGTAGATCTGAGCGATCATCTAGTGAAAGCAATCGGTGACAATGATGACGAGCCTGAACTTTTTGGGACCGGATCAATTATGCATGTAACTATCTTATGGTTGGCGTTACCTACTCAGCCGTTTCGTGTTCCGGAGCCAGCTTGCTGAACTCTGTCAAGAAGCGGGGTTGTTGCACGGATGGCCTGTTTCTGGGTGAATTTAACGCCCCTGGTTTCGTTTAGGAAGTACTTCATTGTGATCTTCCCCGGCCTCCTTCGTTGGCAGTTTCTTTGAAACCGTCATTACATGTCATCAAGTTCAGCATGTTACAGACCCTAACAGGATTTGTCCGGCTCCTCCGCCACACCTCCTCGACCTTGTGCGCACACTGGTAAAGTTTTCCGTTGCTGACTTGAGTATTATCCAGCCGCTGGGTAGAAGCGATCACTGTGTAGTTCTTTTCTGCCGGATGCAATGTTAGGCCGTACATGACCCAATGGTGTACAGTCTGAATTTCTAACGATCCGATGCAAATCGTATGAAAGCTATTGCAGCCGCTATGGATTGTGGCGTACCACAGCACCTAGACACTAATAAGGTCTGGAGTGGTTTGTACTCCAAGCCTATCAAATATAAAGTAAACTGTCCCACTCAATAGAAGCAAAGGATTCTCCAAACGGCCACCTTCGACAGACCATGAAGTAAGGTCCCTCGTTAATTGACGACGCAAATTGTGCTATAAGTTCATATCTTCGCCAGCAACATTAGGTTACTCTTATTATTAAGCTGGCAGGAACAGCTGCGCCCTAAGGAAACGCAAGGACGGCACCAGGTGTACCGTTTTGCCGTGGGTTTGATAAAGACTACCAAACCGTTGTTCGCCTATAGGAAGCACGATACCAAAGCTGGCAATGGACTACCTGCCACCCGCTCTTTAAAAAATGACATTATGTTTCATGCAGTATCCAGCAGTCGTCTCGATCCAAGAGCCGTTGCCAACTAACACTGGCTCTGTGGCTCCCCTCAATCTGGCTCACCTGCAAACCAGCAGTGATTCGGACGCTAAATTGCTCTTTTAGTTAAATACGTGCTTTTCACCGAGTACTGACGAATCTCACATTCTGTTTCTCAAAACGGAGGCTGAGTACAGCACTGCACCTCTTTGCCAAGCTTTTGCGCTCTCTGTCGATGCAGGTAGTCTCCCGCTTGTTTGGAAATTGATATCGTTCAGTTCATATGCATAGGACGAACTAGTCAGGACCCTGGGCAACATCGGCAACCTTGTTTATCACCCATAGAATGTAAAGCCATGGCGGGTTTCTCCAAAGAGCTTTGAATTGTCACCATGATAAGGTTAAGTTCATCTCTCTCGTGCAGCGTGGCTTCCGGTTTGCCACCAAACCGCTTGTGACCAGAGAAAAATGGGTTAAAGCCTTGGATACCGGCAATCGCCTGGACCTCGTATTTATCGACTTCAGGAAAGCATTTGGTAAAATCCCACACGAACTGCTTCTCCTTAAAGTTCACGTAATTGGCGTGTCTAGGAACATGCTTAGATCGCCTATTTTTCTATTGGCCTTAGTATGCGAGTGAAGGTACATGAAACATGCTCCGTGCTCGTGCTCCTGACTAATGGAGTTCTGCAAGGCTCCGTCCTCGGTCCCGTGTTGTTTGAAATATTCGTCAACGACCTTCCATCAGTTCTCTTAACGGATTGCTTGCTATTTGCTAAAGATATGAAGCTGTGGATAAAGATCTTTGAACTTGAAGGTACTGATCGATTGCAAGCGATGCTAGACCGGCTGGCTAGCTGGGCATTAGAGTGGCAATAGCCCATGAATTAGGATAAGTGCTCTGTTTTCCATTTCAGTCCCACGGATCAATTTGGCGTTCACCAACTTGTTGACTCCTTGCTCATATATGTTGTTTGTGAGAAGGACCATGGTGTACTAGTGTCCCATGGTGTGCGCAGAAGCCAGGATACAATGAGGGGAGTAACGGCTGCTAATAGGATGTTCTGTGCCATTAGTAGGGCTTTCTCCATTATCATCCCTGAGGCCTTCCGACTCCTCTTTACTTCCTATGCGCGCACTATCCTTGATGGGGGTATGGCTGCGGTTTACCCGCTTACAAAACTGAACGTGTTGCTCTAGGTAGGATCCAACTGCATGGATCGAAATCGAGCTCTGTGCTTCGAAAATTTTCCTAGACCCAACTACTTCGTATGTTGAACATGTTTTGCATGGATTATCGTCGAAATCGTGGGAATCTGCTTTACATCAGACACGTTTTGCGCGGCATGATGGGAAATAAACTGATCGAGTTTTTTCAATTCAGGGTTGACAGTTGGACGCTGTTTACCCCGATACCGCTTCGAGACCATTCTGTTGTTGCTTTGTCCACTATGTGGTAGGATAGAAAAGGTTACCCGAGCCAGCCGACAGCACAGAGCGTGAGGAGAGTTTTCAACGACTGTTGCACTCCTATCTGCTGAGTAAGCAAGGATGTGCATTTCCGCTATCTTCGTGATTGTCCCTCGTGGAACGGCATATCGCAAGTATCCGCCAAATCCCTGCGTTGAACGGAAAGAGATGAAGCGAACAAATGAGCTCCTTCCTGCTCTCTATCATTCTAATGAATTCAACGGATCCAAAGTGTAACAGTTTCGCTTATATGAACGAAGCTTTTGGAAGGTCGTTGCCCATGTAAATGAGAGACTGTTCCGGGCAGTCGGCCGAATAGGCTGGCTTGCGGAACAACCTCCTCGTGGTGACAGCTGGGTGGTTCGGGTTTAACCCGTTCCAGCAAATAGTTCGGCGGCAGTGTTCCAGGACGTGGTGGGTTTTCGCTTGTCAAGCGTTCTCCCTATAAAAAGCCACAAATGTCTGTTTAACAACATTGCGACGTGGCGGATGTGACTCGCCACAAACTAAAGTCACTGGCCCGTGGATATCCGGAAAGTGCTATCCAACCCACAAACGTCAATTGCTTATACTCACATTTCTGAGGATAAGAAACAGTCAAAAATGCTGCGGCATATTCAAAGACACGAGCTACATTCGTACACAATTACATACATATATACACCCATACACTCACATACACTGTTATGCCAAACATGTACCTTTGGTACATATTTGATCACACTATGTTAGCTAAACATGATCATGCCTGTAAAGGTGTGCCTCGTCTCGTCGAGAATAAAAGTTTATTTATTTATTTATATTGCATTTTAAGTGTTGCTATGGCGTGCCCTTTAAGTCCTTACATGGAT